CCTACGGTGTTTGTAACAAAGCCCCTGATTGTTCACGATAACCACGAGAATGCCATCGTTTTCCTGGCCTTGTTAATGACTGTACCGTGCCGTGTCGCGAATCTCGATGCGTGTTAGCGCTGCAAAGGGACAGTTTGGGTGGGGGTGAAAAAAAAAAGAAAGAGAAAAAAAGCATGACAGCGACAACCTGTGGGCATCAGCGGGTCGGCCGGGCTTTTGGGGTGAGAGATGCCTGGTTTGCTTGTTCTAAAGGCCGTTGGGGAGTGGGCGAGTGGCAACGGGCCTGTTTGGTGTCGGTGTGCTACCGTGTTTGTTCTTTGACGTGTGTTGTGTTTGCTGGGTTTTTTCTTGCACGCTCTCTTTAGCCCCCTTTTATTCAAAGAAAATTCATAGAAATCTTAAAGGATTTTATTTCTATAGAAATTTTTCCTATATAGCACTTTTAATTAAAGGAATGAATCCTATATAATCCCATAAAATTCCTATGGAATACCTCTTTCCATGCAAGTTTTGCAGAAAATTTAGTATGAGGTTCTACCTAATGTTAAGAATTCATTGAGTCTTTATCTCTTCTTAAATTCCTGTGTTTTTCCTGCGGCTCAATCAAACGGTCATTTCTATATTTTTCCTGTGTTTTGCAATTCTCTGTTTTACACTTATATTCCTGTCAAAATCCTATGTTTTTTCTATTCCTCCGTTTTTTCATTTCTTTGATTCAAAGGGGCCCTTCCTCTTTGTACCGATTTGAATTTACGTATCTATGGTAGCTTGCACGCAAGACTACAATAGCAGCTTTGCTGCATTTTCTGTGTAGAACACACAAAATGAAAACTTAACTTTATTGTCCGACCGATTAGAGGTGGCAATTTTCATGTTAGGGCTGATGACGAGGCTGGGATCATCTATACATGGGGCGGTGAAGAATTCTCATTCGCGGGTGAGAGCGCCAGGGTCCCACGAATTTCGAGGATTGGGTAGGATCCGAAGGGCATGCCCAGTACAGGATACAACCCCATCATCCACATGAGCAAAAGTGATCAAGCACCCATCTAGGGATATGCCTCACACAGCGCAAGCCATACCCTCATCTCACTTTTACACTGCAGCACCTGTCAGTCAGTCACATTTTGCATTTAAACCCTTGGATTATTTTTATTTGCATATACGTTCATTATTTACAGTATACCCCTATAAATCACTGACATATATAAACATCAACCCCTCTCTCCTCCCCCATCTCCCTAATCTCTTCAGTGCCTCCTCTCTATCCGGAGGCGGCGCCGCCTCTCCCCGGCCTGGACGCTCTCCCCACCGCCGGATTGAGCGGCGGTGGTGGTGGATCGAGGAGGAAGCGACAGATCGAGCCGCGCGGTGGCGAATCGAGGAGGAGGAGATGGCAGATCAAGCGGCGCGGTGGCGGATCGAGCAGCGGCGGCGACTGGGACCGACGCGGCGGCCGCAGATCCACTTGGCAGTGGCCGAGATCGACGCGACGGCCGCGGATCCACTCGGCGGCGGCCGCCGGGATCCATGCGGCGATGGCCGGGATTGACGAGGCGGCGGCCGGTCTCGACGCGGCAATGGCCGGGACCGATGCGCAGTCGCGCTTCTTCTCCCCCACCGACTGGCCTCGAGCTCGCCGGATCCGCACGGCAGCGATGACCTCGACCTTGACTGTGATGGCAATGGCGCGGGAGCTTGAGTTGATGGCGAGCTGAAGCGACGGCATGGGGCGACACAGCTACCCAACGCGCATCCTCGTCGATTCCTCCGGGCAAAAGTGCGGTGCCTTTGACAAGGGTGCACGGACCTCCTGCAATATTGCGCACCATTGCAGGCGCGCAGCTCCTTCCAACGTGGCGCGAATATTCGCTTTGGGAGGTGTGAGACCACGCTCCACGGTGGAGCGTTGGGCATGCCCTAAGGCTGCGCGTTTGTTGCTCTGAGTTGAGAACCTTCCCTTTGGCACGAAAAAGGGGACAGTTCATTAGTACATGATTAATAAATTATTAGCTAAAACTAACTTAAAAATGATTAATATGATTTTTAAAGTAATTTTTCTATAGATTTTTTTTAAAAGCACACCATTTAGTAGATTGAAAAACATGCGCATGGAAAAGGAGGATATAAGTTGGGAAAGCACACTACTGAACACAGCCTAAGTTACTACGGATAACCCATCAAGACCTCGCGGTACGAGTTATCTCTCTAAAAATAACTCATTCTAAGAATATAGGTGAAACTTGCCTATTCCAGGTTGCCCATATATATAAACTCAACCTTAAACTCCTAACTAATATACACTACTACGAAAAAGGATTATCGTAGATGGCCAGAACCCGTTTTGCCACATGCGCCCAGGTATTTGCAGAAATCAGGATCTTTTCATACATGCGGTGCAACCGTCTGCGAAAACCTTGATTTCGTACGCGGACATCTATGCTTCTTGTATGCGAAAACAATTTTGATAAAATAATAAAAATTTCAAGAGAAAATTCAGTTGAAACCCTAGCTCTCTTATTCTCTCGAAAACATAGCACCCGAAGCTGCTGCCGTCGTTGTCGCAGCTGCCACCACCATCGCCGAAGTCACCATCGCCGCGCCGTCATCATCACCGTCACTACTCTAGTTGTCGCCGCCATCGTCCCCGATCGAACTGGGAGGATCTGCCACTCCCGTGGGCGCCACCACTCCCGCTGCCCGCCCTCGTAGCCGTCTAGCCCGAGCCTTGGACGAGAGTGAGAGGGAGAGAGAGGAGGGGGCAAGTAGGGGAGATGAGTCTAAAATGGGCCAAAGAGGGAGAAGAGAAAATGGGAATGGAGTGAAAAAGGGGAGGCGGTGAGGCCGAGCATGCAAAGACAAAAAAAAAAAAAGAGTGCAGCAGTGGTTGTTGCATGAACTGTAGATAGAGTAGAGAAACTCCTGTATGTGAAAATTCATATTCGCTGGCGGGCCTCTTAAAAGACTCTAATGCAAAAAAATAAATAGTATATTTTCATAGGCAGGTCTTAATCAAACACTACCCAAATATTTTACTACTGACGTTCTTTTAGCCCATCTACGATAAAATAGGGATACATCCGCAAAAATCTTTTTTTTTTAAGTAGTGATCTTACTCTCCTTACCTAGCCCCCCTCCGCTGTAGGTCGTACTTGCAGCCCCTAGCTAGACCCCGTGTCACCATGGTAACAAGGTGCTGGCATTTGCTCCTCCACGCTAGCTCATCTTTGACAGCTAGCACCCAGCTCCCTGCACAACATCGGCTTTTCTTCATCCTCACCGTGTCTTTGCCACATCGAATAATTGTTGAGTCGTCTCGTTACCGAGTTGCCTTGTCCTCGTCAACCCTTCGCTGCGCTGCCTCATTGGTTGTCACATCATAGCTTGTACCCTCGTTCCTATGCCGCTTCGTCATCTCTTTGGTCGTTATCTTGTCATCATGTCACCCACGCTCCAGTGAACCGCCATCTAGCTGCATGCGGGGCCTTGGAAGGGTTGAGGACTAGGATTGATTTTGCCTCATCTGTCACTTTGAGTCAAGGTTGGGTGAACCTGTAGGGGTGCTAGGAGCGCAAGGGCAGGTATATTCCTGTTCGATCCATACCTATCCCTCGTTGTTGCCAACCCTAGACTCAATCAAAGTACATAAATGGAGTGGCGCTTTATTGGTAGTCAGGGTAGGATCTGGTTGATGGGATTTAGCATTGGCGGTCAATTGGACCATCTTATAATAGAGGATATGCAAGGAGGCATGATGAGATTGTTTGAAACTTGAGGAGGTTATGGAAAGGAGAAGAAGTTAATTATGAGGATAAACCATGCAGCCATTTAGCAACTTAACCCAGTTAACCCAATACAAGTAAAAACTTTGAAGGAAAGGTACGAAAGACGGAAGGAGAACTTCTTTGTTTCCCTCAACCTGGCTCAGAGGTCTGTTACTCTGTTTTGCAGATGGACCATGGCGCACGCGCCTATAGCCAATCAAAAACGCTGCTTGCTGCACGTGGGAGGTGAGCCACTCGCGGCAGGCTAGATTTGTTCACTTATAAGAAATAATTGAGTTGAATTGCATTGCTGAGAAAAAAATATTTCACAAATCACGTCGTTGAGAATGAAGAAAAAGTTGTAAAGAGGTATATGCACGTCGTAGTAAAATAAATGTAGGAGAAAATGTTATATTTTCTAAATATATTACTAATTTAGATCGAATTCTAGCATCGTTTATTCCTTCATTGTTTTTACACAAGAAGGTAAAGCCAGCTCTACCTTATGGCCATGTGTTTATTCCTTCATCACCGATGAGGATTCTCTATAGTATTAACGTGCATTAAAAGCCACTGGCATATGGGCTTGGAATTGGATAATACTGCAGGGATCCACGCCTACGTTACCCTGATACGGTAGATTACCGTCGTATCAGTACCTGATACGCCTCCGGATACGGATACGTGCGGGATACGTCCGGATACGTATCCCATACGTATCCCTCATTTTTCTTATTTTTAGATAATTAAAATAAATATGGATACTCTCCCGATACGGTGGGATACGGACCTGATACGGGGTAACCCTAAATCGCATCGCACAGGAACAAAACACGCTCTCCTCCTCCACCCGCGCTGCCCCTCGCTCTCACAAGTCACAACTCACGCTGCCCCTCTCTCCTCGCTTCCCCGATCCCCATCTCAGCGCCGCCGCCTACGCCGTCGCTGCGCCGCCTCGCCGCCGCCAGCGGCAGGCGCCGCGCTGCCGCCTACGGCCGGCACAGCGCCCCCTCCTCTGCGCTCTCCTCCGCGACTCCTCCTCCACAAGGTGCCGCGCCGCCCGCTCCAAGCCTCCAACCGGCACCCAGCACCGTGTTGGCTTCCTTCGATCCCGGCCTCTGACGACGCTGAGGATCCTTAGGTAAGTGAATATCCCCTCCAAGTTTGATCTGCACTGTGCGTAGTGTTCCGGTTCAATTTTTCTTAGTATAATTGCTGTCATCTTTGGTAGATTCAATGGATTTTAGAAGTGGAAGCTCGAATGATAGTGGTAGTGCTAGCAATCCTAGTGGTAATACTGGTTTTGATGCATCGAGACCATCTAGTGGGAGTGGTTCAACAATGGGAGGGCATGCAAGGAGCATTTTGAATGCTGCTCGTGTGATTCCACCCAATGATGATGAAAAGAAGCCCTTGTGGAGGTATGTTGAGCTGCTGGAAAAGACAGGGAAAGGTGAAGGAGGGAATGCAAGGTTCAGATGCAGGTTTTGTAACCAAGTTATCCATGGGAGTTACTCAAGAGTTAAAGCACATCTCTTGAAAATTGGAACAATTGGTGTGGCTACATGCAAAAAGGTGACAGTAGATATACTTGGGCAACTTCAAGATGAAATGACTAGAGCTGAAGCAATCTCTGCAAGGAATTTGCCTAAGGACATCCCACTACCAACAGAGAGTGTGAGTAGGGGGAAGAGAAGGGCTGTTTCAGCTATTGAGTCAAGCTTCAATTTAGATGCTCGTGCCAAGCTTGATGCTTTGATTGCGAGGATGTTCTATACATCAGGTCAGAATATAGCATGTTTTTTTTTCAGTTCTAACATTATCAATTTTGTTTTGTTTATGACGTGCAACTAATTATATGTGTGCATTTGGTTTGCAGGTATTCCTTTCAATGTTGCAAGAAATCCATATTTCAGGAAGGCTTTTCAGTTTGCTTGCAACAACCAACTTGGTGGTTATACCCCTCCAAATTTCAACAAATTAAGAACAACACTTCTTGTTCAAGAGAGGACAAATGTTGAGCGCTTGCTGAATGCTCTCAAGTCAACATGGTCTACTAAAGGTGTGAGTATTGTATCTGATGGATGGTCTGATGCTCAAAGGCGACCAATCTTGAATTTTCTTGCAGTGACAGAAGATGGACCAATGTTTTTAAAAGCAATCAATACTGAAGGAGAAATCAAGAGGAAGGAATATATTGCTGAGAAAATGTTTGCCATCATTGAAGAGGTTGGCCCAAATAATGTCGTGCAAGTTATTACTGATAATGCATCTAATTGTAGGGCTGCTGGATTGATGGTTGAACAAAAGTACAGCCACATTTTCTAGACACCATGTGTTGTCCATACTTTGAACTTAGCCTTGAAGAGTATATGTGCTGCCAAAAACTCTAGTGGGGATGCTTTTCTAGAATTCCAATGGATTAGTGAAGTGGTTGCAGATGCATCTGCCATAAAGAATTTCATTATGAATCACTCAATGAGGCTCTCCATGTTCAATGATTTTAGTAAGCTGAAATTTCTTGCCATTGCTGATACTAGATTTGCATCTACTATTGTGATGCTTAAGATGTTTCGTGCTATCAAAGAGAACTTAATCTTGATGGTGGCTAGTGAAAAATGGAATGCCTATAGGGAGGACAATCAAGTTCAAGCACAACATGTCAAGGAGAAGATTTTAAATGATTTATGGTGGGATAAAGTGAAATATATCATTGATTTCTGTGAGCCTATCTACTCTATGATTCGTGCTGCTGACACTGACAAACCATGCCTCCATTTGATCTATGAGATGTGGGATTCCATGATAGATAAGGTGAAAAAAATCATCTATCGTCATGAAGGGAAAGAACTAGATGAGCAATGTTCTTTTTTCTTTCATGTAAATGAGATCTTACACTTCCGATGGGCAAAAAGTACTACCCCCTTGCATTGCTTAGCACATTCACTAAACCCAAAGTAATGATGTTCTACCTCTTTTCAATTTTTATGTGCATAATTTATAATTGTTGCTAGCAGCTCAATAATCTTTTTTACAACATGTAGGTACTACTATGAGACTTGGTTGGAGGAGGCTCCAAACCGCCAAGCCCCTCATATGGATGAGGAGATTTCAGATATGAGAAATAAGTGTTTTAGAAGATATTTCTCTGGGGATGACTTGAGAAAGATCAAACAACAATTTGCAGATTTCTCATTGTTTGGCAGTGGGTTTAATTCCTTTGACTCAATTGAGGATAGAGCCCATATGAATGCAAAGCAATGGTGGGGAATCTATGGTAACTCTGCACCTGAGCATAAAAAGTTGGCACTAAAATTACTTGGACAGCCAACATCATCTTCTTGTGCCGAAAGAAACTGGAGCACTTATGGTTTCATCCATAGTTCAATGAGAAACAAGTTTAGTTCCTTCTCTTACTTATTTAGTTTCCTGTATGTTAGTAATGCATGAAATTAACACAATTGCATTTTTTTTTTAGTCTTAGGCCTGCACGTGCTGAGGATTTGGTGTTTGTGCACCAAAATATGCGTCTTCTTTCTAGGAGATCTGAAGAATACTACAGTGGCCCATCAATAATGTGGGATGTTGCAGGAGATAGATATGAGTTGTTTGATGGTGGTGCTGATTTTCTTCAACAAGCTGAACTGACACTTGATGAGCCTGACCTTGAGAGACTACTGGAAGATCTTGGTGCATTGGACATACAAGGCGATAACGGGCCTTCATCCACTTCGGTTCCAATGGATGAAATCAACAATCAATTTATCTAGTCTTGCAATCTAGTTATTGAGTTGAATTTGAAGTCATGGACAAGTTAATTAATTCTAATTAGTTTAGCGCTGTGGTGATGCTCTACTGTTGATTTATCTACTATGTGAACAATTTTATCTACCATCTATTTGAAGAACACATGTGTTGTGATTCCTATTTTTTAAGTCCATATTTCACACTTAGTTTTTTTGTATTTTTAAATTGTATATATGTATATATTCGCGTATCCCCGTATCCATGTTTTTAGGAAGACGGTGTATCCCGGTATCACCGTATCGCGTATCCATATCCGTATCAGCGTATCGGGGTAACGCAGATCCACGCCACCATGCCTGTCTCTAGCTCCATATATATGTGATGGGAGCGGATGGGTTATGTTGTGCCTCTAGTCTTCTCTACCATCTACGGTTTGAAACCACTCTAGTTGTATGCATAATTATGACATCACCTTGGAGGAATTGGGATGTAGAGTCTTGCTTGTCAAATAATTTCAAAATAATTGTGGAATAGAAAGGAACCGAGTGGAGGAGTTAGTCAAATAATTTGACGACAGGACAAATGAACCATAATCTCGTGGGACGTGTGTAGAAGAGTATAAACATAGAAGATTAAATTTCATAAAACTAGAGGTATTTTAACCAGACTATCATAAAACTACAGATTTAAGGTGTTATACCATAAAATTATAGATTTCGCATCAAATTTATCCCAAAACTAGTCTAAATATCCCAAAAATGCATATTTAATATTGAAGTTATAATAAAACTATAAGTTTTAGAGTTTAAATCCCTAACACCATTATTAGTTTGGAGCTATAAACATTATTGTTTTTTTGCTAAACCGGTTCTAAACATGTAGTTTTGTGATAATTTAGTTAATTATCATATATGTAGTTTTGTGACACTTCATCTAAAATATATAGTTTTGTGATAAATTTGGTGTTCAATATGTAGTTTTATGATACGTTAAGTTAAATATGTAATTATGTGATAGTTTGATTATAATATATATATATATATATATATATATATATATATATATATATATGTATGAAATTTACTCAACATAGAGTAAACACATCAATGATGGCTAGAAGATGGGAGTGATTTGTGATGAGATTTGTTTTCATGTTATGGCGATTGATAGGATGCCACACTATTTTCATCCAATTTGGTTGCTCCAAGCTACATCAAATTTTGACTTTGGCCGAAAGGGCTTTTGCCCAAACAGTCTAATGGGATGTTACTACAGAACTATGACATGCTATAGTTGTGGCATGGTAACTAATCGTTCATCCAATTTGGTTGCTCCAAGCTACATCAAATTTTGACTTTGGCCGAAAGGGCTTTTGCCCAAACAGTCTAATGGGATGTTACTACAGAACTATGATATGCTATAGTTGTTCCAATCTTGGTAACTAGTAAGATGTACTAAATATGTGAAGACAGCTCTCATATGTCACAAAGGTCAAATTTTAATTGGGTCAGAATGTCACACTAAGACTCGACTTGGAATAAATTATAGATCAAATTATTATAGTGAATTATGATTATAGATATAGTTTAAATATATTTTGATAAATAAACAAAACAAATACCTTAGAATGAGGACTCTATATAATGCAGTAGAAGAGAGTTTTTTTTTTATATAAATTATACTTTTAGATGTATGGAGCAAATAATTCTTGATAATAATGTGTTGAAGTAACGGAAAGAACAAAGCTTGAGTTATAGCAATGCGGCAAAATACTTGCAAACAAATTAAGTTAAACATGCAGAAAAATTTTTACCAAACTTTTCCATGTGACTTCTCTTCGATCTAGGTATACTACAAATTCCTCTATTTTTCTAACGTGGGTGTACTGAAAATATCTATATAGATTTTAGAGGCAATATCGTTCTTACTTCTACTTCAATGTCCAATATTGATTTTACCCATTTTTTTTAGAATTTTTGTTTTTGCCCCTACTTTTTCGAAATAAATCAGTCGTTTGGCCCTGTTCTATTAATTGTTGCTAACGGTGTTAAATGTGAGGTAAAAATGATAAGTATACCCTTAGATATTGATATTTCCGGTACTTTTGTACACCACTTGCATATTTACCCTATTTTGAGATAAGGCATTTTGGCAACTTTTACAAAAAAATTGACAAATTAAATTACTGCTATAGTATGGTATCAATAGATTTGTATTTTAATTATGTCAAAAGTATGGGAAAATATAGGGTATACATATTATTTTACCCCACATTTAATACCGTTAGCAAGAGTTAACGGAACAGGGACAAATTATTTTAACCCCACATTTAATACCGTTAGCGAGAGTTAACGAAACAGGGATAGACAAAAGATTGATTCGTTTTAAAAAAAGTAGGGGTAAAAATGAAACCCCCAAAAATAGAGACCAAATCAATATTGGATATTAAAGTAGTGGCAAGAATAAAATTGTCAATATATTTTATACATGTTTATTTGGACAATATAATATTGAGTGACTCTTTCAACTATTGTCGGGCGTTTGCAGTGTCAATAAAAGCCACATGCATGCCCACCAATCAAGCACAGCGAAGGGCACTCTTGACCGCATTTTCATGTGTACGACTACCCGACACTCAACAAGGCCCTGATCACCATCCCCACAACACACACCACCACCATGTTCGGGGCCTCTATGATTTTTTTTTAGTGAATTATGCTTTGGGGTATATTTTATTATCTAAGTTTCACTTTGACTACCCTTGAAGAACCGGATAAATTTGCTATTGTTGCGATTTAGACCACTAAGAACGGTTTTTTTAAGTACAATCAACGACCTTAAACACATCAACTCTAGTATACGGATGAACTCCTCTATGTATGATTCATATGTTTGCCGAAAGGGAAGTTAGACATGACGAGAAAAATTGTTCATGGTAGTCCAAACCGTAACAATGATAAATTTATTCGGTCCAAATGAAAAGATAGATTTAAGGGTGGTCCAAAGTGAAACTTGGGTAATAAAAGGTGGACCAAAGTGTAATTTACTCATTTTTTTAAACAAAAAATTCTGAAATTTGTAGGATTTCTTTGTCATTTCAAACAAAATGATGAACTCTTAACAATCCTATAAACTTTCTATGGAATGTCTCAAAATAACAAAATTTTGGACGAAAGTTAACATGTCCAAAAAACTTTTCTTTCCGGTCTTTATCTCTCTTATAATTTTCGTGTTTTCTAGTGATATACTTAAACAATCACTTATATATTTTTCTCGTATTTTACAATCGTTTATTTTACACTTATATTTTTATTAAAATCATTTTTTCAATTAATATGTTCTCTCAGTCATGTATTTTAGAACAAACCTTGTAAAGAATACTAAAATGAGACTGAGCTATCTCGTTAGAGCTTCTCTAGCAATAGTTCTTATTGCAAAGCCCCTAAAGGTCTAATGGGTGTTGCCCCATCTTTCGAGGATCCAAAAAAATGACTTAAACTTCAATAGCAACCACCATTTCTCAGGCTCCATTTCTCTTTCTCTTCTATTTTAATATACACATTATATTTATACCTAGTTTAACAACAGAATAATTAAAACATAAACATATTCAAATTTACAATTTTGAAGACAACAAATCAAATTTAAATTCAAAATTTTTCAACATTGCAAAATGCATAATAAAATTAAATTTCCACAATCACACACATATGCAAGTTCACAAGCGTTATATAATTTGAAAAATAACATACTCTACAAACATGAATGGTTAGATGTTTAGACGACGGCCGGCAGCGCAACAAAGAAGAAAAGTGGTGGTAGCATAGTGATGACGCGAGAACAATAGGAGAAGCACCCACTAGGGATTTTTCACCCGCGTAAAAAAAAAAGATGGGGCTAGTGTCGAGCCCCCAAGATTGGGGGCTAGGGAGAGGGATTTAGGTGCATTCCTATTTTAGGTATTTTAGGGGTTTTAATAGAGGTCTTGTTGGATCTCGATTTTTCTCCATTCACCCTAATAGTGATTTAGGGACTTAGTTTAGATGTTTTTGCTAGAGATGCTCTTTGTCTTATCCACACGTAAGCGTAGCCCTCAGGTAGTCAGGTGACTCAGGTGGTGTCTCCCGTTCCGGTGCGTATACTGCTATAACCATACAGTGGCATTACCGATATTTTTCCGGAAGAGCAGGGTCGACTAAACTCGGTGGGAAGTAGGAAGCAGGAAGCAAGTCTGCGTGGGGCCGCGTCACGGTGGTCCCCGTGCACTTCCCATACGCCGAGCCGTGCGGCCGTGCCCGTGTGATGCGAGAGAGGTAAACGAAACAAGAGCGGATTTCACCGTGCACGCCTCCGCATCGGTACACCACGTCACCACCCCCGTTGCATCTCTGCTCCGCTCCACGCGAAACCAAAGGAAAGGAAAGGAAAGGAGAGGAAAGGCTCCCTCCACCGACAGCCATCTCCCCGCTGGCACCCAGAGGAGAGCGTGCCGAGCGAATCCGCACCGCGCGATCGGCGCTCGACGGCCCGAGATCGAGGGCGGCCGGTGAGACGTCGTTTCTCCTGGAGGCATTCCCGCGCTGGATTTATGCGGCGGGATCTTCTGCGGCGGGGCGGTAGGTCGTGCGTAGGCGTCAAGCCATTGGTGACAGCAGAGCAGGGTTGCGCCACCTGTGATCGATGATGAGTGTCCTAATCTAATCGCTAATTTGGGGCTTTAGGATGGTTTTGGGTGTCATCCATATTTAAAAAATCTTGTTTCTTTTTTCTTCGCTATATTGCTGTCGCTGAGAATAAATGGTCGTTGCATTGGTACCTTTCCTTTTCTTGTCGTAACGGTTTTCGATTTTTTTTTTTTGGGTTCTGACCTGCCAAACTCTTGGCTCTATCTATATTTCGAATTTCTGACGAAGACGACACGTTCAATAAGATAGGACTAACTATGGTGTCTGTCTGTAGTCTACACCAGCTCTCTGAAATATGTACTGTCCGGTAAAGGAAGAAAGGCACGTTTTTTAAATAATACTCTCTCCATCCTAAAATAAGGGTAGTTTTTACACTATTCATGTCCAATGTTTAACCGTTCGTCTTATTTGAAAAAAAATTATGATTACTATTTTTTATAGTTATTAGATGATAAAATATGAATAATACTTTATGTTTGACTATTTTTTTAAAATTT